GGGGGGGGGGGGGGCTGTGCTGAGGTGACTGCCGCGGCCTGTGCCCGGCAGGCAGAGGCGGGCCGGGCGCTGCTAGGCGGCGAAGCGCGGCTGCCGCTGCGGCGGGGCGTGCGGAACTGGGCCCAACCTGCTTGAACGCCTCGCAGACGTACTGCGGCACATCTGACCCTGCGCTTCGTCCGAGGGGAGCAGATGCTGATGAGATGTGAGCAATGCGGCAGTTGCAGCGACGAATTGTCCCAACATGCTGCGCTATCCATCCTTTTACCTTCGTCTATTTCACCCTTTCCTGCGCTGCTCATACATGCAGGCGAAGAGTCACACCCATGCTATCCAGCAGCACGTGCCTACCTGGGGTCTCCCCGTTGATGCGCACGCGACGCTCCAGAGGGTCGGCGATGGTGTTCACCCCCAGCTGCCGCAGCTGCAGCAGCTTCTTGGTGGCGTTGCTGTCGGAGGTGTTGCTGCACATGAGCGGGGTGAAGTAGCTCAACTGGGATTGCCGTGAAAGGAGGACGGAGGGGAGGGGGTGGGGTGGTTGGCGGATGGCTGATGCAGGCGGCTGCCCAGAATGGGTGGTGGGCAACGCCCGGCCCTGACACAATTGGCCGATGTTGTGATAGCTAGCGTGCACTCTGCAGCCCTGCGGGATGACTTGGCGGCGGTGCGCAGGGCCAGCAGCAGGAATGCCTGTGAAGGATGCAGGGGAGCAGCGCGGGTGCTGCCCCCGTTGCTCAAGAATCAACCCACCCCCGACAACGCTGACATCATCGCCTCGTTGAACATGTTGCCATCCATGGCTGGCTACACAGTGCACGCTCTTTTCTGTGGCGGGGACAGTGTGCTCCCCACGAGCTACGGCGGCAGCAAGCCTGCGTTGCTCAAGACTTCACCGCTGCCGTCACGACCAACGCCGCGGTTGGCAAGGAATGCAGGGCAGGAATTTAATTCCAATCTGCCTGAATGTATCAACGCGTCGCAGTGTGCAGCAGATCGCGGCTGCTTCAGATCAAGAGAACCGCGCGGGTGACACACTGCTCGTTCGGGTTAATCGTCGGGAGTTGTCAGTCTAAAAAACAAAGCTTGCAGCATTTGCTGAGGACAGTCGTCAGCACAGCTGCCATGAAACAAGGATGAGCTACTGTAGTACACTTGACTCATTGACCAGCAGCTGCGCGCCCCGTGACTCAGCTGAGATAGTTTGCGCGTGTGTGTGCCCACATTCCTTGCCGCATGTATCTCAGAGACGGCCTAACAGCGTGGTATCAGCAATACAAAATGTTCAAGTGATGGTCTTGGCGCGCAAGCGTGACTTGCGCTGGTGCCGTGCTGTCCAAGGGGGCTGAGTTTCCGGGCAAAAAGCATGCGTTTGTCAGCAACGAGTGCATTCTTACTGTCGCCAGCCCCATCCCCAAGCACACCCTGCCAAGCAGACGGCGCCTGCCAGTGTAGGCCCCCCTCGTCCTACCGAGGGCCTCGGTAGGACGGCTGGCCACCATTCTCAGCTTCCTGACAACACGCCTGCAAACAATCGACCTTGCATGTGCTGGCACTGTTGACAACTACAAGTTGGTGCTTGTGTGCAGTTTCCAGGTGAAGTGCCAACGCTGACATTGCCAGTGGTCAGCAAAAAAGTGCGGATGGTGTTGGCCGCAGTACCGGTGGCGGTCTAGTCTGTCACCCAGGCAAGAAGACGAGAACCAAACCAGGTGCGGCTCCTGGCCATGCCCGCAATGCTTGCTTGATGAAGCGAGAAGGCGGGCGCGACGCTTGGGAAGTGTGGCCGCCTGGCGGCCTCGTCGAATTTTGTCTCACATCTAGGACTGGGGTGTATTTCCGGCAATGTTCTGGTGTGTGTCAAAAGGCACGTCTTATTTGCCAATTCGACGACATGGGGATGTGAGTGAACGGCATTCTCGCTTGACTTGGCTGCCATGCGCCACACCGGTGGTTGCTTGGCGGCACTCGGGACGCGCTGACGCGGTGCCAATACCGCCAGGGCCGATAACAACCATCGTCAAATCCACTTGTGCGCGCCAAGCTACGCCGGTCACACAAAAGATTGAAGAGATGCACACTGCTTCATAAGCAATCGGTCCGCCTTGTGGCGAAGGCCCTTATCATGGCAGCGAGCATCAAGGCCGGGGAAGAGCCTGGCGTGTACTATGTATCGGGATCGACATGGTCGGTGCGTTCAAGTGGAATCTCCATACATTCGTGCGGGCCTGCGCACTTGCGCAGGGCGATCTCGACACCCTTTGCTTATTTTTGCACGGTATCGCAGGTGGGGAACCGGTATTCGCTTCTGAAGCAGCTGGGAGAGGGAAGCTTCTCTCAGGTTTGCCTTGCGGTGGACAAGGAGACCCAGGAGAAGGTGCGGTTACCGTTACCGCGCAGCACAGCGTGTGCTGACGCTGTGCCGAAAGGGCATCGGTGCGCGAGCGGGTTTGCGAGAACACGCAGTAGCATGTCGGCTGCAGCAGCGCAGGTTGCGCACCAGGCGCATCTAGTATTGCCTCTAGCGCCTCCCATGATCCCCAGTCCGTCGGGGGTACAACCCTGGGCCCCACGCGCAGCAAACGCGCGGCGCGCGGGCTGTCTGCCCGGCTGGCGCCCGTCTCAGCAGCTGCCGCCGCCGCGTTCTGCGCAGGTGGCGGTCAAGCGCATCCCGAACGTCCTGGACAGCCTGGAAAACGCCAAGCGCGTGCTGCGCGAGGTGCGGTGCGCGCGCAGTGGCCCTGGCGCAGTTGCGCGGCCCCCCTTGCAGAAATCCCCAAACCGCCGGCCCCCTGCGCCAGGGGAGCCCCACGTTGCTCATGATTTCAGTTTGCCTGGGCGCTTTACCAGACCGCGCAGCGCCGCCTGCATGGCAGCGGTCGCTAACCCCCGGGCTTGCTGCCCTCCTTGCCTGTGACGTCACCTTCACAGACATGACCGCCGAGCCGTTGCTGGAACACCCTGTCCTGCAAACCAACCACCCTTTGCGAATCATGCGTACCAACACCCATTGTGCCAGGTGTGCATCCTGCGCCGCATGGACCACCCGGGCATCATATCCCTCAAAGACGTCTTCCTTCGGCCCGCCAGCAGCGGTGCGCGGCGCCAGGACGGGCCTCCGCCGCGCGAGCCACCCTCATGCATCGGGGATGGGTTCGGCCCCATCCCCGGCAGACACCGCCAGCCGGCCCGGTCGCGCTTGCCCCCCTGGGCGCCTCCTCCGCGCGGACGCTCGAGCGGCCGCCACGTGTCTGTGCCTCCACTCGCACGACGCCGCTCCCCGGCCGTTCAGGCACACTTGGCGCCCCCCAACCCCCCCCAGGGCGGTTTGTGTACCGCAAGGGCCAGCTGGTGCCGACGTCACTCGACCTGTACCTTGCCCTGGAGTACTGCGAACAGGTGCGTTTTTGCTAATCTAAAGCTCAAATAGGAGAAATTTGTCACCTGGGTACCTGGGAGCTCGGCATCTGGGGAGTCCGCGGCTGAGGCTCGACACGCCTGGGCGGCTCATTTGGAAGCTGCCTGGGAAGCGGCCCGCGGGTGTGCAACCTTGAGACTCGCGGCGTGGGGCTTTTCACTTCCCTTGTTTGCTTTGGGCGCTGGAGTGCCCCCCTCGGCGCCCCCGCACGTGCGGCGTGAATCCACTACGGTATTGGCGCGTGGCCCGCACGAAAACCATGGAGCGCGCCGACGCGTCTTGCCGCCGCGCCTGGCGTGCCCCTGCCCTTCTAGGGGGACCTCTTTCACGTCAAGGGGCAGATCAGCGAGGCAGATGTGAAGAGCATTATGTTTCAGCTGCTGCAGGTGCGCGGCTCGTGGGCGCGCGCGTGCGGGCGTGCGTTCGCCTGGCGCATTTAGGGGTCCGTCCGCTGGCCCCGCTGCCGCGCCGCGCCACATGCACCTACAGGCCCCGCAGCCGCCGCCGCCGCCGCCGCCCCCGCCGCCCACCTCGCCTTGTGGCCCATCGCCAGCAGAAGCAGCGCCGCCGGCGACGCGGCGGGCGCGGCGCCGGGCGCTGCATTCCTGCATCACATGCACGCACGCACGCACACACACACACGCACACACGCATGCACCCCCCCCCCACATACACACACACACACACACACACACAAAAAAGCGCGCACACATGCCCACACACACACGCACACGCACACACCTATGCGCGCGCGACCCGAACATATCCGGCCCCTCCCCAGGCACTGCAGTACCTGCATGATAACGGGGTGTGGCACAGGGACGTCAAGACCGCCAACCTGCTCGTCACGTACAGCGACGGCGTCAGGCGCGCAACCGATTGGATGCGCGCCCCAGCGCTGCCCAGCGCGCGCGCGGCGCACAGGGGGGGGGGGGGGACGTGCCCGCGGGAGGGCGGCCAGCCGGGCGCGGCTTTTGGACGACGAGCTGGGCGCCGCCGGGGTAGCAGCAGTGCGGTCTGCTTGCCTAGGAGGTGGTGCCGTGCCGGCGGCGCCCTGCAGGCGTCCTGCAGGCGGTGTTGCGT